AAATTACATACCATCTAAATTATAATGCTCTAATGGCTCAGTAAATTCACTATCAGCATATTTATACTTAAGAACTTGAACTAGTGGATATATAATTGAAAGTGTTGCATATCGTGTACTACTAAAATATGCTGTAGCATCATCGAAAGGTTCTAATAAAGTAATAATTTCTTCTAAGAGATCCCATTCATATGGTAATAAAAGTCATTCTTTAAGCTTTCAACCTTCAGCTCGATCATCTGAATTTTCTGATAAAGGTAAGGTTGCAGCTAACTATTCGATCGCTCTACGTAATTTAAGTAACCTTCATTATGAGTAATACTTAGAGTTCCAACGTGTTTTCATATCAGAAATATTTCTTAATACACTTTCATCAGAACTATACATATAGTCTAAAGTTTCATTATCAGAATTATCTGATATTTCTGAATCAGTATTCTCTTGATGTTGCTCAAAGAAAGTAGTCGAAGATGAATTACATTGTTGAAATTGTTGTGCATCATCTAAATATTCACTATGCTTTAGAAACTGTGTAAAAAATTTAACTAATCGCTTAATTCTTTTAAAATAAATGTTTGTTTTTTTAAAAGCACGATTAATTGACAACTGCAAAGTATGCGCTGCACAGGGCAAATGTTCAACATTCTCTCACAGGTTAATTGCCTTAACCATGTTGCTTCTATTATCAGTTACAACGCAGGTAATCTTCTCATTTAACCCAAATTCAAGAGCTTTTTTTTTTAAAAGTAAAGCTATATTTTCACCTGAATGGGAGTATAGCATACGTTCCATGCAAAGAAGATAATCATATAGTTTAAAATCACTTGATAACCAATAGATGGTTATACCTATATACCCATGTTTACTTTGAGCAGTCCATAGGTCAGTGGTCAATGATGCTGATTCACAGGTAGTATCTAATAATTTTTTTATTTTTTCAATACCATTTGCATAACTCATATGAATTTCTTTTTTAATACTTTTTTCAAAAGGAATTGGAAAAGCTTTGTCAATAACCTTCATCATTTTCTTGTAACCTTTTCCCTTAGTTACATTAATTGCCATGTTGTCAGTAATAATCTATTCCATAATAGCTTTTCAAATTTCTTGAATTCGTGGCTCTTTATATGATTTAGACCTTGCTTGTTCGAATATTTCAGGTAAATTTTGCTAAATCATTCCATCTCGAGGCTATATTAAATTATTAATATTTTTAATTATGCATTATAATATTCATATAATACAAACATATCTTATCTTGAGTTTTATTTAAATTATATATATTTTGAAGGTGATTACTCATGTTACCTGTGCCACCATTATATTGAAGCTTACAACTACATAATACCGACTTATTTCGCAAATTCATTGTTTTAACTTGGCATTTAACACATATTTCATCATCACTTAGTTTGAAGTATCTCCAAACCCAACTAATTTTAGCATATCGCCTTCTGCGTTTATTTAATTTAACTTTTTTTTTTGGAGATTGGTCATTAGGAATTGAAGACATTTTATTGCTTGAGCTAACAAAAATATTGTTACTGTTTTCAGGTTGTTTATAAGAAACAGATTCTTCATACATTTCATCAAAAATATCATTATTTTCGTCAAACATTTTACTACGAAAAATATTTAATGTTTAATAAATGATAACAGAAACTGAAATTATAATTGATAAAAATTATGAAGTTAATAACACCTTTCATTATATATTAGACTACAGATACCTTATTATTTAAGTTTTTTAAAATTATATACATACCAGCGCCAAAGATCTTAAAACTATGCACACACTAATACTAACGCTAAAGGTTTTTGAAGCTATAGGCACATAAATTGTCAATGCCAAAGATTCTTGAGAATATGTAAATGCCAATGCCAAAGATTCTTGGAAAGTTAATGTTTGCTTACTCTTTATTCTTTCACTTTGTTTTTTGTTCATTCCAATATCAATCTCCACCTTAAAATGATACCACCACCTTAAAATGATACTACCACCTTATATACACAAGGTATTACAGCGTTAACTCTTAGGTTCAGTTTTATTCAACGAATACTAAAATATCAAGGTGTGGGTATTATCATTCTCAAAGATTGAACCCTTTATTTTCTGATGCACGATTATATCACTATCTGTCATAATTGACTAATTGTGCGATTATGTCAATTTTTGTATTTACCCCTGCAAATGATACCCCAGTTCTAGACATCACATGCATTCAATCAAAGCAAAAAATGAGTAAATTTGATTGGTTAGTTATTTGCTGCGCCAATTAGTATGTTCGTATAACTTCATATTTGCTTTCACCCAGATTAATGTATTTTACCCGGATACCTGAATAACCCGCAGGTTACCCGGATTTGCCTGATTTGGATCGTATCTCTAAATTAAACTTTGTTTGTATAACTATTATATTTTCGTTATACTTCCTTGAATAAAAACATCTTAGCCCCAAAGAGGCTAGTTTAAAAAATAAAAATAAAAATAAATTGTAACATCATTGTTAAAAATTTTTTGATATATACTTGTATATACTTTTTTGTGTAATATTTTAATAGTTTATATGAAGTATAAAGTATACT